TCGCAGAATTCACTCACACCTCTAGCACTGATTCTATGTCTTCGGAGTATGCATGTGTGGCACTCAACCTTTCTAGCATACCTATGCAGGATGACCTGAGCACAACCTTCATAAATGCAAATTGAAACTTGACGAGCTTCTAAGGCAGGACTTTGGGGGGGTGCTTTGCAAAGGGTTATCGGGACAGTAAGAGGTCTTGACTTCTAGAGTTTTCTAGAGCAAAGCAGACTTGCACAAGTCATTGGAGTAGGTCGCAAAGCAAAGTAAAGGACAGGTTTGGAACATAGGACGTGCAGGAATGCTTAAGAGCACGTGTCTCACTCCATAGGCGGAACTTCCACCCTGACAGCTGCTCATTATTTTCATCTCGGTTAATGATGCAAGGTCCAATCCATACTCTTCTGGGTGGCACGTTTCCTGACTCACTAGGGAAGCTGTTTGGATTGAATGTAGGTTCTGATCCTCAGTCAAAAGCCCATGCGGTTTAAGTTGGACGGCAGGCTTTGAATGCCAAGGCCGATCTCTCAACAGCTGGGCGCCCAGCGAACTTCGCGCGCAGCGTGCCGAGCTCCTCAGCTTGCAGGTCAGAAATCCTCATGTCAAGTCCTGTACCTTGTACCTAATGCGCACTTAACGTGTGTAGAACAAGAAGACACGGTACAGGCAAGAATATAGCCCATCATGGCAGTCATCAGTCTCTTGCAGAGCCTGATGAGCGCTCTGAAGTAATGCTACTTGCGGTTATACATGTCTACAAAACTGCGGGAATTCTCCAGTTGAATCTGATTGTTGAGTTTGGGCCTCGGTATCAAGAAGATGCATCCTTGTGCTATTGCTGCTGCAGAATTTGGCGATCACTTTGGCGATCCCCATAATACGGATTATAATTTGTTTTTCGGTGTTTATATCGGGGTCCCCCTATTTTGGAAAACTAGCATAACCATCCCTCAGTTTCCTGAAAAGGCGCAGAAGGAGAGTTCTGCAGGGATATTAAGAAATTCATTACAAGAATGCATGCTACCATAGCCGTCGCCACCAGCACCAGCCCATGCGAAGTGGGATCTGTAGGTGCTGTAGACGATGAGGCTTAGGGTTATGTAGGGTTTAGGGGTTTAGGGTTATTATATAGGGTATATCGGTTCGTATAGGGTTATTACATAGATTTACATAGAGAATATAGGGTTATATAGGGTTTAGGGTTATTACAAAGGTTTCGGGTTCGGGGGGAGTGTTGAACAGAAAAGGGACATGACATGCAGGTCTTGCACTGCATCGGACTGCGATTTCTGGAGCTATAAGGTTTGTGTTACGCAGGGGTGTGCAGGGAGCCGTACTGAGGTATGCAGGATGAAGATGCTGTTTGGAACTTGTATGTGCATGACAGACAGAGAAACCACCGTCCTGTACGTCCCCACCCCGCTCCATAACGGATGCACTGCTCGGCTTTGTCACATGTTCTGTACAGGAGATAGAAGAGAACACATTGGATTTGCACCTATCCCCTGCTGGTCAATAATGAGTACTGGTTTGGCTCGGAGCACTTTCATATCTAGCGATTTTTGTTTGACAAATCTCCGGGCTTTAGGGTAGCCTCAATCACAACAAGTCAATTCAAATGATACTGTAATCTAACAAACATCCGATCCAAATCAATCCACAGACTCCGGGCCTGGACACCCACAAACAGGTTGAAACCATCCCGCAATTTCCCGCATTCACCACTGCTGTTGCGTAATCACATCTGATCTCGACCGCAAATCGCAAGACCTAGTTCATGAAGACATGTTTAGGGAGTATGGATATCTAGAAGGGATTATTTTCGGAGGACCATGGCGATATCTGGATCAGCAGCTAAATGCAACCCGAGGCACCCCAAGCAGTAAAGACCGCTCCTTGCGGAGCCTTACAAGCTCCTGGACAAGCGACGGATTTCAAAGGGATTTCGAAGAGTCCTATTTTGTGCTTGTGTTGGGGTTCTCCAGCACATATAAACTTATAGATCTTGTTTGGGAAGGGTTTAGCTAGCGTTTCTGGGTGCATTCTCAGAACAGGCTTTTGCCCGGACTATGCCCCACACGAATAGGATCCGGAACGCAGCAACCCTCAAAAAGGGACCTATGCTGTTGCGCAACATCCATGCAGGGCATAGACAAGGAAGGCAGTACAGATGTTGTGAGCAAGGAGCCTCCTGCGTCTGGGGGGCAAATGCTTTTGAGACCCAATGTCTGATAGAGGTACGTGATTCGAAGTTGGCGCCACAGACTACTGTAAGGCTTTGGATCCATACAGTAAGACACCCAAGGTTTGGGGGCGGCAGGCTCTGCGTTGGCCTACAACTTGCAGCGCGTTCCATTGCTGTTTTCGACTTTCTTCAGATGCCCTGCATTAGGTGGCTGAGATGCCCAGATGCAAGAGTCAACTATCATAGTTGACTTTTGCGCCAGATCTCAAAAAATCAGCTTCGTCCGGGCCTGAGCAGGGAAAGGTGGTGCCGGACTTGGTTCAAGAAAACTACTTGCTTTATCCAGTTGGAACAACGACACCGCCCAGTACCATTTCCCTTGTAACTTAGTTCAGGCGATTTCCAAGAATGACTCCTCAAACATTGCCACCAAATACCACCACTGCTGCCATGATCTGGCTCTGTTGAACGTGAGAGGAGCGTGTACAGTACATGTAGGCTGTCAAGCGTGCTGCCAGCGCTGCAATGCGCTGCATTTGTAGTCGTGGAGCTAGTTCCCCGAACCGGTGCTACCAGCGAGCTCTGAAGTTATTCGATGCAGAGGAATTCGTCTCCGAAGTCAGGCGGTAGAACTGCAGTGCCAGAGGGGCAGCAGAATTGACTATTTTTGTTCCGGCGCAGAAGCCATCTGGAGCTGGGAAGCCGTGGATGCGGCCCGGGGCCTCGCATGAAGCAAGTAGGACCACGGCACGCAGGTGGCTGATTCGGGAGCCGTTGCGCTCATGCGAGGCATCCGATGCCATCTCCTGGATCTTGGAAGCAGGATTTCGTTGTGTAGTCCAGCAATCATCATGTAGAAAAAGCCAGGTAACGCCTCTATTTGTGCGCTCAGGCTGACCTACATGGAGGAAACGCAGGCAACATCAAACGCACCGAACTTAGGGAATGCAGCAGCAGGTATTCTGACTGCTCCGTCGGTCAGCTGCAGAAGCTTCTTCATGAGGCAAGGCAGCTCCATGAAACGGGAGCTGCGCAGCCTGGCTGCAAGATGACCAGTAGGTGCCTCAATCTTGCCGATGATCCGGTCAGGGCGGCATATTTAGGCCTGCTTCTCGTTGAAGAAATCGAAGAGCTCGCTGCCGTGCTTTTCGGAATATCATATTCTGAAAAGCACGGCGGCGAGCTCTTCGATTAGTCGCCTGATGTTGCATGCTCAGCCATGTGAGCACAGACGTTGCTGTGGCTGGCTGTAACTTCGGAGCTTCCACTCCATCTGCAGAGGTGTGAGATGCTGGCGCACAATGCCATCATCTCTCCCGTACGGCGCGTCATGGCACTGAACGCACTTGGCTAAGCAGCCATTCGTGGCAGTGCTGAAGCCAGGCTACTATTCAAGTGCAGCACATATTTACATTGGCACGAACTTCGAGGGAAAGCTGTCCGTGACAACCAGAGGCTGAGAAGAGTTAAGCACTCCTCCGCTTCTGGTCATCACTGGCAGCTAGAGCCCCATGGACACCATGTGAAAGAATATTAGCCCAAAATGTTGGACATTTCGCCTCGTATCTGCCACAGGCAATGATACATCCAATGTACGCCCTAAGTACAGAGACGAGAAGGCCGCGTAAGGTGCACGTATGGAATCAAGGTTCGGAATGCGGGGCGCCGCTACTGTATCTTTTTTGGAGCCGAATTGCATCTCGACATCTGAGCTGCGCACGCATGCACTCTACTCGGTACTTCGATTTTACTCTTTCTCAAGTGAGGTGGATCCTGATTGCTCCTCCAAGACAGCTCGAAGGAGCCCTACATTCAATCCTGAGACCTGATCAACACGCCTTAACGCACCAGAGTGGCTTGGCTGCCAAGATAATGAAAACCAAGCTCCTGAAAATCCGATCCCCAATCCCTGAACCATAAACACTAACTCCAGATGGAACTTACGTGCCAGCGAGCTCTGCCTCTGGACTCTCGCCTGAATCTGTCTCCATGGCTACACGGAGACTGAGACTTCTCGGGGAACCATAGTAGAGATCAAATGGTAACCCACTTGTCAACAGGTCAGCCTGGATTGGATTTAGAGACGCTGGGATGGGGGCGCGCTGCCTGCGGGGACTTTGCCACAAGCAGCGAGGTCCCCAGCCCTCTTCAACTTGCCGACTGGGCTGTGTGCTTTTATCCTATCAAGAGACCTCCATGATGGTAGATTCAGGGCTGACGATAGTCTTACAGCGTGCCCCTGGCTTAGATCTCAATGTCTCTCAGGATGATTCATGTCTTGCTGCAAGCCAGAAATGCTTTCAGGATTTCGTTCACCTTTAAGGCTATGCAGCCTGCTGCATTGCCTAACACGTTTTTTTCCCATGACATTTGCGGACGCACGACATGCCTAGAACTCAAGCTGAAGTTGTGGATTATGTCTAGTAGCATATTTCAATTGCTGTTGCACTGTTAGTTGCCAATGGCTGTCGCTACCAACCTTGCCATCCAATCTCGAAGCCTCCCTTGATGCTTTCATCTCTTGGAGTCCTCGCCGCTCTACAAAGGACACTGGGTGACCGCTGACCTCATCAAATTTCCGCAGCGAAAGCGCGTGATCCATTATCGGGGCAAAGTCTTCGCAGACTGTGTGCGGCTTCAAAGTTGCAACAACCTCGCGTACGAAACGCGGGCTGGCAGTCTCTTATGACATACGCTGACACTTGCAGCCTTATGCACAAGGGGTCCGGACGGACCTAGAATAACAAAGGGGGTACAGGCCGCTGTTCCGGCCCGTATCCCAAAGGAGAAGAAACATATCACCTTCTTCTGTGGGTATTCAGCCTGCCGCTGCAACAGAGTAGATGGAAACGCTCTCAGCATCGACAGCAGCAGCAGCAGCAGCAGCAGCAGCAGCACCAGCAGCACCAGCAGCAGTAGCAGCACCAGCAGCAGTCGTCGTCGCAGTCGTCACACTTACATTTTTAGCACATGATACGGTTAGTGTAGCCTGTGCAACCAACTGAAGACGTCTAAGTTCAACACCTGCTGACATGAAGCTTTAGCATCTCAGCATCTCGGGGCAGAATCTCTGCCTTTAGATCGGCCTTTGCTTCGAGACTTGCCCGCATCACCTGCGGCAGGCTCGCAGCTTCCCTGACTCCCTCATCCAAACAGCAGGAGCATGCGCTACAAAATCAGCAGAGCTCAGCATGTAACGCAGTCTTCGGCCTTTCCACGCCTGTGAAGCGTTGGTGGAAGGACCGTCCCAGGACTCCCAGCCAGAATTCCAGCCACTATCTCTCCCCGAGCGCTTGTTTCCGTTCCGCGGCTTCCAATCACCTTGTGAATCAGCGTAGTATCCCGACCATGTCTGGTCGCGGTTGCTAGGCTTCTTCCAGGATCCCTCTGCCTGGCAAGATGCAGGTATGCACTCAAGGTTGAGCATCTGCATCGTTTGTCAGCGGCAAACATGTCCTATCAGATCCGACGCTGCACTGTTACACCTCAACCAAGCTAGTGTGATTTTCTACGAACCGAAAGAAAAAAAAGCCTCTTGGGGAACCCTGCAGTAGTCAAGCCGGAAACCCGAAGCATTGTTGTTGGGTCTTGTCTTGTCTCCAATGTTGCAGAATATGGGGTCTGCATGATGCTTGTCCGACGACCCCTTGCCACAAAAACTTCTGGCAGAGGATCTGAGGATCCGAAAAGAATCCTGGAGTGGCAGTACCTAGGGTTCCCACAGAGGAACCATCACTTTATCAACCACACAGAACTCTAAGTCATATCCTCGGCATCCAAAGCCTTGAACTCAAGACTGCCCCGAATCTCAACCTAAATCCTATATGACCATATTCTAGTAGTTTCCATGTTCTTTTCCATTATTCCTATAATATCCCTATATAACCCGTATAACCCCTAGTATAGTAATTTCCATTTTCTTTTCCGTTATCCCTATATAACCCCAATATAAGTAAGTTCCACCAACCGTTCTGCCTTACTCTCCTCTGACTCAGGCGCCCAGTCAGCAGTCCCAGCGCCTACGCTCAAAGCATATTATACTATATTATAGTATATTGTACTATAATATATTATACTATATTAGACGATATTATAGTATCGTATATTACACTATGATATAATATATTCTATAGTTGTTCTTCCCTTGTCATAGAATTCAGGGTCCAGGGTTTAAGGTGTAGGGCCTGGACGAGAAGCATACGGCCTTTGGGAAGCTTCTGCTAGGAGAAATACAGACGGTCTTGAAGCCATAGTGCTCTTAATCGTCGGGAGATGTGGGCATTCTAAATGAATTTGGTCGTTTCCGAAGGTTCGTCTTTTGGGGAGCATGAAGCAGAACGTCCACTTTCACTTCGTCTCTTTTAAGAGAGACCTCCTAATTCTGACTAATGCTGCATGGTGCCACTCCCAGCTGGACCGGGAGGAGCTTGTTGCAAGAAATGAGAGACAGCGGAGTTGGGGGTGCAACGCCAAGGAGTAAAGGCAGGAGGGCTGGGGCCAGTGAGCCAGAGAAATCTGAGGCTGCAGCTTGCTTTGCTTCGCAACTTTCCGCTGGGATCTGCCGCGTCCAGCACCTGCTTCTTTGCATTTTATGTCAAAAACCTTGCTACGATGCCACCACCATCTTTGATTGCAGGGGATAAGTCAGGGCTCCATTGCACACAAGTTGGTGCCTCGGGCCAGGGCGCATTCTTTGGGCATACACTCACCGCAAGAATCAGCAGAAGAGCTTAAGACAAAGGTTGCGAGCCTCCAGTGCAAGGTTGGCCGTCTTGCGATCCATTTTTCCTCCGCGCACCTCTGAAAGTGGAGTTGGGTGCTGAGCCCAACAGGATCACGGATCACTGAGCGGGATGTGCAGTATCATGCAATCCTGCTCGTGCACAGGCTTATCACTGGTCTTGAATTGTTTGCAATCAAAACTAACCACTGAGCCTAGTGAGGATTACTGATTACTGATTACTGGATATAGGTCCAATATGGTCCAATAAGACAGGATACCCCGAACCCTCAACCAGAAACGCTTTTCCTTGAACCCTAAAACCGCAACCTTCAAATGAACTAAGAGCTGCGCCTTCCCAGCCAGGTCGGACATGGTTTTCGACTCCACGCCGACCTTGCAATTCTGCACTGTACAAGGATATGGTGAGATGGCTGCATCCGGGCGTCGCAAAGTTCTAGGTCCCATTTTTCAGAGATTCCTGCAATATGAAAAGGGCCCTACCAATTGCAGGGTGCATGGAGGAGCCTGATGTCGAGAAACAACCACATCTCAACAAGAGATCCGCCCTCCTTATCTATCAAGACAATCCTTGCCGATGAAGTGCTTCGTGCCTTGGAGACATTGTAGGTGAGAGGGCGCTAGTGGGTTGGAGGTTTCTTGGGAATTCTCACGCCTACTTCTCACCGACAGAGAACAAGTTCTGAAGATCCGACTAAACCCAAGTGCAGTATATAGGCAACTATTACTCTTAGTTTTTCCCCAATGTAATATTCCTACTGTTGTCATGACTACATATGACTACTCAACTTGACAGCCCCAAACATCAGGAGTCCGAAGCCCTCCATCTGCTCAGTCCTCCTGAAAACCATAGGATTCCGCTTAGATTGCTGCTCTTCTGGCAGATGCTATTGATACGGACCCCATGGACTGCATAGCCTTTATGGTAAACTTTTGTAACGTCCGTGGCCATCATCCAACACAGCAAGACATCAACTGTATCCGCGTCCCCCGACATGGCTGTCAGAGCGGATTCTCACGTCGACTTCCGGCCTGCCGCATGGCCACGCAGGTTCTTGCCATGCTTCCAGGCTCTCATGAACTGAGGCTATGGCGCTTCCAGGCCATATGCGATTCGCGCAACCTCCATGGCCAGCAAGCAGACTGCAATTCGCAGCATATTGACGAAGCGTTTCGCAAAAGCGCGAGCTCTCTCTGCCTCTGTTAAAGACTTCACTCCAAACTCCCAAGCTTACTCTAAAATGAAACCGAAATCATAAAAAAAAACAAACTCAGACCCCCCGCCCCGCCCCAGCCACCCTAAGGTAACATGTGGCACCTGTGTAGCTTCTGCGAAAGCAGCGGCTTGGAGGCAGCCATCCTAGCCCATCAAAAGGGGTCCCAAGGGTTCAGATGTAGCGTGTATGGACCTCCAATGACCCTGCCGTAACGGGTGGTTACTGCAGTAGGGAACAAAGGACTAGGTTTCAGGGGCTGGGAAAGCTTAGGTACTACTGTGGGCCCGTGGCAGCCATTCCTCCGCTCCTTACTAACCACTACTAGGATACTTCACACCTGCAGCTACAAAAAGCATGTTACTGGTATCACGCAACAAGCTCCATGATGTTGCACGGCTAGGATTCATACTTGCTTGCAGAAAGCCCCCATAATCCCTACATACGTATGTACATACATACATGTATGTGTGTATGCAGCCCTAATGCATCATGCACATGATCCCCACAATCCCTGCACAACCCCTAGGCTCTTGGCAGCTCCCATTGCGTGTGCAATCGTGTGCATGTCTCAGGCTTGGGCCACCAGCACGGTGTGTGCCTTGCGGTCTGGCAACCTGCCCAGCTCACCTGCAGTATCACAGTTGCTTGAGGCGGGAATGAGGGGTTCAGTTTTGCAGCTTGCAAAAGCGTGTAAAATGATGTGCGGCGCCCGATACGGCAGGTACAGTAGGGCGCACACTGATCATGTCGTTGTAGATCTGCATGGCCTTCGAAACCTTCCTGGAGTTGCCCGAGCTTGCTGATCAAACATGGCCAGCCAGGCAGAACATGCTTCGGGGACGGTGGCGGCAGAATGTGGCAAAGAGTTCTGCTAGCAAAGCTTATGATGATCATTGCAGCTGTTGACACTTGAAGTCTGCAAGACTACGCGGTTCCTCACTTTGGGTGGTGGGTTTGCGTGCCAAGACTAGACTGCTGACGAAGGAGCTGAAGCAAGAGGCTAATGTCAGAAAAGCGACTTATTCAAGAGGCAAGCTTGCATCAGGCAGGTGAAGACCTGGACATTCAGCTTCAAGCCGAAGTCCTGCATTCTGAAACGCCTGATGTATCACGTTCTCAACATGCGCCTCACGCCATGCAAATAAACATGGTTCTGCAGTGCTTTCGCGACATGTAATCATGCAGGTCATGTAACAAGGGCATTGTCTGATCTGAATTTCCAAGCACTCTGGTGTACTCATTGAGCCTACACCTCACGTTGGTCATGTGTTTTGTCTCCTTTACATGTTGGTAGCGGCATTGATGCGTTTTGCTTGGTGCTATGGCCCATGAGATTGCCCTCCCCGCTCCTTCTGGTAATCACTAGCCAATTTCAGAGCATCATTCAAACGCCGGGAGCGGCCAAGGAGTTTGACCTGGAGAGGCTCGGGGAAGGACACTGCATCGGGCGGATGACGCAGGATCTGGAAGCTGCTCCAAAGAAACGCTCCAACATTTTTGGGACATTGCTGGGGGCACTGGACAGGAGACGAAGGCTGTGCATGTTGCTCAAAAGCCACAGGGAATATAGAAGACCCTCCTGGATGTTGAAGTCGCGACCAAATCAAAATCATTCCGGGAGCTTTGCAGTGTCTCACTGTGTGGGGTCCAAGCTTTCGGGGTCCATGCTCTGAAATGAACAACATAGGAGAAGTCAGAGACCAGCCCCTTCCCCTGACAAGCGACCATGATGCTGAGCGTGTAGTTGGACGGCGGGATTCCTGCACCTGAATCTAGCTCCAAGGATAAAGGAAACAAAAATCATGCGAACTGGTGCCCAGGTGCGAGCAAGTTGGAAAGGCTTGTGCTTTCCGTGCTTTCCTCCAACTTAGAGTCCCAGGGGCTGATCATGTCCTGCAGGTATTCCATCGCCTTCTGCGGCTTCTGCTTTCGGCCGCAGCCGTCCAGAAGCGAATTGTACACAATCTCATCCAGGTCCAGCTTGCCGTCTGCTTTTAGCTCGTCAAAAAGCTTGAAGGCACAGTCCAGCTCGCCTGCGCGGAAGAGAAGTCTGCGCACTGACCCACATGTGAAAGAGATCACTTCGCTTTCTCTCTTTGCGCTCTTGCAATCTTTGATTCATCTGGTATTCCCGATTCAGCAGGTGACCGGTAGGTGAGAACTTGCTAAGATTCTATGCCTTAGCGAGAAGCTTGATCAAACATTGGTGCCATGGGTACGGTCTGCTGATGATGTCTTCAGATTGTACAGGACTCTCCGCTATGGATACCTCCATTTCAACCCTTCCAGCTGGGAGGTGCCTGCTACGCAGTAGCCCTTGATGAGCGTTGAGTACGTGATCCGATCTGGTTCAACTTGCCGTTGCCTGCCACGGGTCATGCATTGAGCCCTTTCGGCATCTTCGGACAGAATCATGCGAGCAGAAACTGCAAGCGTTTACACGCGAAGGTGGAGCGCATGATCGACATGCCCAGATTTCCGGCATCTCCAATACTGGCAAGAACAACGAATGCTTGGACTGGGTGTAGCATGAATGCTGCAGATCTCTTTATCATTTATAATCAGTTGTGTTGTTCTTGCTTTGTTTGCCAAGTCGTTCCTGAATTTACTAGTGCTACTTTTACGGTTATCACTATTGTTACTACATTACTGCTATTTACTACTCCATCACTACTACTAACGATAATGGTATTGAACCCCCTGCCTCATGTTTTCGAAGACCGCAGGAACCCGGGACATGGTGCCGCACTTGGCCTGGGCTGCTGTTCTTACTGGGGGTTGGTAGGGGCTAGGGGAATATAGTATAATGGGCCTATAAAGGGACTCATTCCCTTATTTTCAACTAAGAACCAGTAAGTCTTGGCATTGCTTAGGTGATCTTGGACCCAGGGTGTGTCAACACCAGGGTTTGTCAACATTGGAACTCCTTCGAGATGAGCCATGCAAACAGCCCCAATTGTGTCGCAAGTTCCTGAAACACAGTGTGCACGTGAGATCCCGTGAGAACTTCGTCACTTGGATAACCTGATATTTGCATGGATTGTTGAGATGTGGCCAGGAAGACTCTCCACGCGGCATTTCATCATGGTTTCCAACATCGCCCAGCAGCACATGCATCCAAGAGGGTGTTGTAGGTGATGGTGTTGCCCGGAATGCCTGCGCCGGCGTTGTGGGATTTATTCTCCATTTCGCTTAATGCACCACTCCAGCTTGTTAAAACAGTATCTGAATCTAGCGTACAACCGGTTCTAGTGGTTTTCCAGATCATTCGAGCTGCCTTGCTCCTCCATCTCATCAAGCACATCGAAGCACTTCTCTGGCTGCTTGGCTTGGGCAAAGCCCTTGATGATGGAGGAGTAGATGACCTGTGCAAGGCCGAGCTCAATGCAGGAAAATGCAGGAATCAAAGGTCGAGCTTTAGAATCCTAAACCCTAAGTAGTAGTTTCGATTTTCTTTTTCCATTATCCCTATATAATTATATAACCCCAATATAACCAGAATACACCCAAATAACCCCTATATACCCCATTATACGAAAACTTGATGAAATGATTCAGGCCAGTCTCTGTGTTAAGGATGAAGCCCAGTCCATCAGCTGCGGTCTGATGCCTGGGTGTCTCAGGATTCTGACGGGCCAGGCCCATTCGAACTTCGATTGGGGTTATTTTGAGGTTATATTGGGGTTATGGTGATTCTAAGAGGCCAGGCCCATAGTATATTGGGGTAACAAAGGGATAATGGACAAGAAAATGGAAACCATTATAATAGGGGTTCTATAGGGTATGCATTGGGGTAAAATAGGGATAATGGAACAGAAAACGGAAACTTTTACGGTATATTGGGGTTATATACCCCTTCAAAAGCTAGAGCTGTTTCTCATGGTGGTCGAGATGCACCAGGGAAGCTGCATCATCCACTGCCCCACAGTTCCTTCAGGCTCTGTTTGGATTGTGCGTTGCTAGGCTTTGCGGGTACAGTCACAACTGTACGTTCAGCTTATCCAGTGTTTGATGATGACAGATTTCTGCAGCAAAGCGTCACCAAGGCTTCCACCATGCACCCGAGAGTCACGGAAGAAGGGCTCACGCCCTTCTCACGCATCAAGTTCCAAGTGGACCTAAACTCTGCAACCCCTGCCTTAGGCATGGGATAGCCAAATAGCCATGAAGGAAATTGTGTTCCACGCAGCACGCTGAGTCTCAGACCAAACCTGCTGAAGATCTCGGTTCTGTCCATGGAGCTTGATCATGGACCCAAAGGTTGCCGCGCTGGTGTTCCCGTTCTTCTTGTTCCGCAGCGTTCCCAACCTCATCAACGTGGCGCGGTGGACAGCATCCTGTTGCAGAAGCTGCAACTACGAAGCTCATGACTTTTGGACACTGATTGCACTCCAAGAACATCTCCATGAACTTGTTTGCCACCGCGGGCCGACTGGTTCGAATAGCCGCCTCAATCGCCTGCGGCATGAGCGGCGGCAGGGGAAGCCAGAGAACATGAGTTCAAGCTGTACGTATATGGACGGGCAAAGACACAAGTTGTCGAAGTGCACTTATCAATGACGATAATTACTTCGAGACTGCCAAGATGCTCGTACAAGGCGGGAACACGATAAGAAAATGAAGCCTCCCTACATAGACCAATTTTCCGGTACAGCCTATCCTGCATTAGAAGCCTGGAGTGGACCCTGTGGCTGCAGTTCTGAGCCCGGCCCCTGACCTCTCCCTAGCAAGGGTTTGCAGGGCGCGGAGAATTCTTGTCGGGTCCAGGGCTGAGCTCGGGATCTGACGGGATAAGGTGCCAAAACTCAGTACAGATGCAAAAGCCGCGGCAATTACCTGGCACACGCTCGTAGACCATCGTTGCATCTGCTGCGGATTCCATGTCTACGGCTTCTGTGCTTCAGCTTCAGGTTGTGTCTGGAGTAGGAGTACAGGAGGCCCTTGCGCCTTCCCGCTAACGCAGATGTTGTTGAAAAAGCTTCTCTGCTTAGCTCTGTTTGACGTCTCTAGCCGGCATATTAGTTCGACAACTCCTTGAAAATGGGATCCACCTCCGCCAACACCACCACCGCCACCGCTGGCGCCTGCCCCTCCACTTGCGCCTCCGCAACCGCCACCGCCGCCACTGCCATCATCATGATCATCATTCCTGCTAGGGGCGCAAGCTGCAAGGGGCCTGGGAGCACAGTGCTTCATCCACTGGTTCCGACAGCTGATCAATGAGGTCAAACGAGCGGTCCACCTGTCAGGAGCTTGGGGTCTCTGAAGGGCTATGAGTCATACAGGAGTTGTACAGGGATTCAACACTGTAGGACCTCTACAAGATTGCACAGGGGTTACATTAGAAACGGATTGGGCTCAAAGATCATGGAAGAGGGCTTCATGGTGAAACATGCGTCTAGGAGGAATCCAGAGGAATGTAGGACTCATCATCTCAGCATTGAAGCTTGAGAAATCCAGCTTTCTCGAGGATACGGGGGTTCCTGAACAGAAAATCAGGGCTGGTTGGACTTAGATGTCGGGCGCTCTAGTTCCAACCAATGCCAAAATAGAATGGGCAGTGAACTCATTTCGTCCAAGTTGGTCATATGCTAGCCACCCTCGGGGCAGGACTGCACGTGAGGAAATGTCTTTCACCGAACTTACAAAACCTTCTGTGCTTTTCTGAGGATATTTCAATCACGGCTCGTGTCATGGTCACCATGGACAGATCTTGCTGGAAGATTTTGATTCTGACTGCATTTGAGGGTCCGCTCTTGTGGGATTGACGGATGATTGTCTGGGATACCTGTATCAGCAGGGTATTCTTAGAGGGTCTTTGGAATCAGGTCAACCTCCAAAGATTCGAATATTACAATAGATCTTTGCTCAACTTTCTAGACTAGCAGAAGGATAAGCCCTCAGGGCCTAGGTACCAAAAGCCATTCACATTATGGTATTTGGGACCTGAAACCCTGTTATTCCAGTGGATACCAAAAAAGTAAAGTACAACGGCCTGTTCATAGGCACATAGGTTACTCTGAGTACTGTGGGGGTTGAAGAATTAGACTACGGTCGTGGCCTGGTGGCACATTATACCTGTGTTGGTTTAGATGTTTAGATGCGGTCGGGGAAGGGGAACGGTTCCCCTTAAACTCCAGCTAAGTGAAAAACAGGCTAGTCTGGATACTGCTCAAAAATCTGATTTGTTCCTTGTTGGGGCGGTGGTGTTATGTGATGTTGATCTTCTTATGCGGTTGTGGTATCATAGATTCTTGCAAGTTTTCAACAATAGAGAATATCCATCCAGCTGTGCTTCGAGGGTGCTGACTGTTGGCAATGACCATCCCAACAACAACAAAGCACAAAAAGCGCGGCAAGTTGGCTTCGGGACTCCTAGCCAGCCAAACCAGAGGTTCTTAGGTTGGAAATGGCAGGCACAAGCAGGAGATCAAGAAACGATTGACCACCCTTGAGAATATGGCTCCTGGTGGCAGCAGCAGCTAGTGCCGCATCCACCGCTTGCGCAGCCGCGACTATGTCCCTATGAACACAAACCTGTATCCCGTAAAGGGAGCATTGCCCCAAGCTTACGGGAAATTCAAAAAGGACCTGTCAATTCAAAGAACGCATCCAAAGAGCCTCATGCGGCTCAGTCTCGCTAGAGATCCTCGCGTCCAAACGTACAGGGAGGATTGTTCTTTTGCATGTGCAACGTCTATGTGCCAAGTGTAGTTGTGACTGTTAGATTTGGGGCTTGTGAGTCTGAAGACTTGCCTTCAGAAATTGGAACCATCCTCAACAAGGCGACTTGTAACACCCCCGGATGTTTGAGACATCGTTGGTACGAGTGTAGCCATAAAATTCCGATCTTGCAAACGGAATGTGGTGTGCCAGCATACCAAACTGCAAGGCCAACTCCTTCTAAGCAGGATGGAGCACGCCGCGTTCGTGACTCCGAAATCGGTATTCTTCATCCAGTCCTTAGCCCCAGAGATCCTTATGTACATGTATTATATATACATATGTATATATACACGTCATATTTGTGTCCATGTGATGTTCCATCATTGGGATTCTACCCCTTACATTACCTATCCCTATGTATCCCCATAAAAGAACCTGCGCTGCGAGCTCATGCTTTTTTTTCTGCGCTACAATATGGCGAGATACATCACAAAGGACAGCATGGTCTGCTGCCTGCCATGCAATCAAAGTCAGTTCTCGGAAGCTTTTGTGGGACACCCTGGCCCAGCTAAGCCGAACTGTACGATGTTTCGCTGATGACAAGCAGAACTTCCTAGCCACTTAGCACACGAGCAGCGCTGGCAGCAGCGAATATCCCACACCAAACGTTGTCCTCTTTGGTCTCCATGTATGCACTCATATTCTAGTTACCTGGCTTTTCAGATTTTACGGAAACCCAAGGAGTGGGCTCATGGCCCTGGTGTGTCCTGAGCAACTTAGTTTCCATACACAAAACCTACCTACACTCAAATGCTACATAATTAACGTCTCGTACAGTCGTGGCTACAGGTTCTAAGGTCACGACCACAAGTCGCCACACTCCGTCGCCGTCGTCAGCACGGACTCTGTCCGTGAGCAGCTCAGCTATGGTGACCTGGCGAAGATCAACGGAAATGAAGGTGGCCTAAACAAGTAGAATGAGGTTCCACGAGTATTTAAGTCAGACCTATATCGGGATCATAGGGACGTAGTAACGGTTATTCCTTCTTCAGATACCTTCTGGGTTCCATGCTTTCAAGCCAAAGCTTCCGCCTTGTTAGCAGACAGCCCATGCTGGTTCATTTCCTTGAGCAGGGCCTGCGCCTGAGCCACATGCGAGATCATGGGGGCGAGCGTCAGAATTAAGACCCCTCCATGATCCCTCCACAGAAAAAAAAAGGTCTTGTCATATCATAATCTGGGAATCTCCAAACAGAGCCATGAGGGCCTATGATTTCTGCACCAACACGTGCACCCGAATCCAAAATCACATTGTTCAACATGAAATGTCATGCGCTCCGCTTGTCCTCTTCGCGCTTGCCCACACACAGCAACGAACGCAGCATGATGTTGAAGGTCACCACATCTGCTTTCCTTTCCGCTTGGCAAGGTGGGATACGCTGAGGATGCATGGGTAGACATCAAAAATGCTCAAGTGCGATTGCAAGATTCTTTTCCGACTTCAGCTGGTTGAAGAGTTCGGTGGCCCTGTCTCCAGCGGCGTCTCCACCTGATCACGGCTGTCAGGGAAGCACCAAGCGAACACACATGCTACGACTGCTGAGCAGAGAACCGTTCATGATATGTTCAAGATCATCTGTTGCCAACATACTCACACTTTCTGGGTGCATCCGGCGAGCACTGGACCAGGGTGTGCAGCAGCGCATTCTGGACTTCTTGGTGCTGCCGGCTGGAGATTCCAGCTGCAGATGCCTGTCCAGCATTTTCAGTATTCTGAGTGTCCCCGACCTGGCATGTGGAATTCAAAGGAACCAAAAGCTCCGAGAAAGCTAAGTTGACTTTCGTGTAGATACTGGCTGTGATATGCAACATGGCAGCAACCTTCAACACCCGGTTCGTTGAATGCACAGCTGCAGCCTTTTCTTCGAGCGACCTACGTTGTTCTAGTGCGCCGCAGCCAGCGTCTTCTTTGCCAGCGGGGCAATAAGTTAAAACGTTACCATGCAGCAATCCGCAGCTGTCCTGCTTCATCAGGACATATTCGCTCGCGACTTGCCACGGAAATAGGCTACCTGCTCTTGTCTGCTGCAGCCGGCGCCACCTTTCCGTGCTCACCAGATAAACTTGATATTCAACACGAGTGTACTCACAGGAACATACATGCTCCATATATGAGATTCAGCCTGCACCCAGGTGCCGCAGCTGCCGCCGCTGCAGCCTAATTTGAAAAGAGATCTCTGGAGCCTTCTGCTTCATCAGGATGCCCCAGATCTTCAAAGGAGGCTCAGGCCGCGCTTAGGTGCCGCAGCTAGCGCGAACCCAACCAGCGCTGAGCCAAACAAAACCAAGAGACAGCAACCCACGGTTGTGGCCTGCTTGAACAGGGCATGGCTGCACGCCTCCCAAACTATACAAGCTACACCCACCAGAGTTTCACCCAGGTATTCGCATGAGCGGCCCCCACAAGCCGTCGGGTGCAAACTCCCAAAACTCTCACAAAACCTCAGGCACTTGACTATCAGGGGTCTTGCCACCTTTTGGCCCTGAAATCTCTTCCAAGGACTTCCCCTTGGTTTCGATGGCTGTGAAGGCCACGACCACAGTGACCAGCGTTGTTATGCCGGCATAGAAGCCGAAGAGGGCGGCCTGGCCACCCAAGAAATTGGACAAAGGAAAATAAGACACGTTCACGAATGCTGCTGAGGCCCGGTTCAGCAGGACGCACAGGCACATTCCTTTGCAGCGGAGTGTTGAGGGGAACAGCTCCGAGGCATAGAGCCAGCATACAGGTCCGAAGCCCATGGAGAAGAACGCAACAAAGGAGAACGTCCCCAGCACGGCGAGCACGCCAATCTCCAAATCTCGAATGGAGCCGAGGCCAATCATTGCAAGACTCAGGGCCGTCCCGAAGCCACCGAAAATGAGCAAGGGCCGCCTGCCCACTGAATCCAACAGAGCCATGGAGATGCCGATGAAAATAATCTTCACAAATCCCATTATTACGGTGAGTGTGAACTGCTCCTGTTTGGTGTCCGCAACACCCGCTTGCTCGTAGAGCGTGGGTGCATAGAAGATCACGCCATCCACACCACATATGTGCTGAGCTATTGCCATGAAGAAGGCTAGCAGCACCGTGTGGCGGTATTGTCGAGAGGGACAAATAACACTCTTCCAAGTGGTAGCTTGATATGCTTCCGCTTGCTTGATGTCTTCCACAATGCCGTTCACCACAGCATCAACATCCGTACCTTCTGGGTGTGTCCTCCTCAAGATGTCCTTGGCCTCCTGGGTCCTGCCTTTGGTGATGAGCCACCGCGGCGACTCAGGCATGAAGGTTAGCGTGAGGATGATGAGCACTGTCGGAAGGAAGATTCCGCAAAGCAGCATCACGCGCCAGTTGACATCCTCTGGCAAATCCTTAAAGAGCAAGTTGAAGGAGAACCCCAGCATGATACCGATGTTCGCGGACATCTCAGACCAGCTTGTCAACTTGCCACGGTGTTCCGCAGGCGCTGTCTCGGAGATGTACATCGGGTCGATGGACATACCGACCCCAACGCTAATCCCTACAAGGCAGCGGCCGACTAGAATCATCTCATAGTTGACAGAGCAAGCACAAAGAGTCACACCCGCGATGCCAACAAACTGTGTGGCCAGGAAATTGCCTCTGCGGCCAAAGCGGTCTGAAACCGACTGGGCAACCACCAAGGCTCCGAGCCCTGCAGCGACGGGCACAACAGAGAAGAACAATCCCACCTGCACATCTTCAAGTTCAAAGTACTCCCGCAAATAGAGGGCGACCCCTGAACTGACTCCCATATCGAAGCCATAGTCAATGGAGTTCAAGGAGGCGGTGGCTGCTATCATGCACATGTACCACGGGATGGAAGTTGAGGCTGGACGAATGCTAGCTGCGGGTTTGTCGGGCAGCACGTCCTTTCCCTCCTTCCCACTGTTCGACTCCCGGTCTGCTACATTGAGGATCTTGCTGGGCAGCACGCAATCAATCCCCGCATTCTCGTTGCTTTCCTGAACCTGGGCTGCCCAGTCGTTCATGTCCTGCCGTTGCATCGTTCGATGCCTGGCATGTGGGGACAATGGAACCTGTGTCGTGCCTGGGCCGCAACTGCTTCCATAATTGAACGCAACATGGAGATGTTCAAATTTCAGGGGCTCCTGATCTACCCCAGGAAGACTTTGACTCCTAATTAGCCCAAGCAGGGCCCGCAGTCTGGAGAAGCACCACTAGAGTCACACCAGCTTTGACAACCACACCGATATATCCATGAATGCACTTACTGTATACGGAACCGTTCTACTAGGTCCTAAACTCCCCCATTCAGAATCCAACTCCAGGCAAAAACAAATCATGTTGAACTGCCTGCGTTGACAAACAGGGAATTGAGCTCTCCGACAGCTAGATAGCGCAGACAGACAGATAGACAGACAGACATGTTTTATGGACTGTCAAGGGAGTACCCAGGGATTAGCCAAGTGCGAAGCAGGTGCATTTAAGACTGCCCGGTTTTTCTCCTAACATCTTCCAACTACTGGTGCTTCTCGCAGCTGCGACGCCTCTAGGTGCACTCTGTGCTTGTACAGAGCGGTGGACTGCAGTAGCAGAAATACAGGAACTGGATTCTGTTGGATTCTGTTTGTTGCCCGCGCTGCAATTCCATGAAAGCATCCGATGGGGATTAGTTCCATAGAATCTGTGGCTAATAGATATGCTAAGCGAGTCACCGGGCTCTGCCACATGGGTCGTAGTCCGGCGTTTGAGGGTTCTATGCATTGTTTGGAAGAAAGCTGCAGCACCATCTGGCTGCATGTTCCAAGTAAGCCCATGGGGCATCTGTTCCCCCAAGGGCCTCCTGCATGGCTGCCAGAGCACCATCCAGGTCCTTCGCTTTGCCACACTGGCGAATTCGCGCCGCCCACCTGCGAGTCTTAAGGCTGATTATCGACGTTGGGGTTGAAGGCAATTGCGGTACTGGGGCTTCGGGATTGCTGGGTGAGCGCTTCAAGCATCAAAGTCCACCATCCAATATTTTGGGCACTCGACTTCCCATATGTATTCTATATCCCTATGTCCTTAAGCTAGCGTAGTCTCATTCTGAGAACTCTTGAGCCCTGAACCCTATAATATCCCCACAATACCTTTACAGGACTGTTACGCTGGGCCCCGGCACGCCGAATGAAAGGCCTATGTTGTTTAAGGTTTTTAGAGGTGTATAGTCCCCCGTAAGTAGATAGAGTATGGTTTGGGTACATTATAATAAGATCCCCATATACCCCATATACCCCATATTCTATCTACTTGAGGGGGACTATAGGGTTTGTAGAATCTTTTCCGAGACCAGGAGCTGATTCCCGGAGTGCTCCTCCGGCTGCGGCTTTCCTCCAGCATCAGGTACAGCAGATTGAGGTTTGTAGGAAAGGATGCAGTTAGGAATCTTAGGGTCTGAGGGATGTGTCGGTATTACAATCAATATGCTGGGGTTATTGTAGAAATACTCTTGTTGGTATACTTCAGAGATGTCAGAGCTGGGTGTCTGATTTTTAAACCTTTGGGTATGCTAGGATCCTTTTTGTCACGCCTGCCTCCAAACTATAAGAGACTTACCAAAACGGAAGTCATCATGCACAAGACTAAGACACGGGTTTGTGACCGCAAGCCTACATATGTTCATGTTAGAAAATTTGTGAAGCCTACGAAAGACCAGGTCAGCGGAAGCGTCTGGATGTATGCTGAGTAGCAGATCGAGTGAAGCTGGTCCATGTTTATGCAGATGGGCTCTTGAGGGTTGGCTGCAGTTCTGGGAAGAGGTATCATCTGCAAGAGATCCCCAAACATGCCAAATGATCGCCATAACATTCCAACATAGTTTTCAAGACAATTCCCAGAAAAGCTTGCATGGTTCTAGGCCATCACTTAGTTGGCCTTCTCTGCCGCGCTTGGCCTTGGCTGCCTTGCCGCCCTTCTTCTTCCTGGCGCTGACGAGCGCTGAGGAAGCTTCAAAGATTGCTGGCTTTCACAGCCCTTAGTAATATTGAAAATATACAGTACTGGCCGTTGAGCGATGATCCGTGTCTCGCTTTGTTGCTGCCGCCGCAAACATCCCTACCTTCTGGTACCGCAACTGTGGCTACACAATCGCTTTGCAAATCTTACCCCGAAGCTTTCCCTATCTCGGACACGCCCCTGGCATAATTCTGGCAAGGCAGGAAGCTCAAAGAACAATGTAGGTTTAGTAAGTTTTCGTCAAAGTTACATAGGCACTTCACAGGATCATCTTCCCAGCAACTGTAACAAAGTCCGCACCACAAGCCGTACTAAGAGAAGCACCAACGGATGATCTCAACTCCTTGTATGTACCTGGTGTTGAAAAGGCACAAACTTAAGCTGTGACAGTTCGCAAACTTCTTTTGGTAGCTTCCAACATCTCCCTCAAACCAAAGTCACCTGTGCCAGCGTAGCCAAACCTTGGAGAGCATGTGTCTGATCATCCGAATTGCAAGATCCTGCCAGCTCTCAAACCGCTCTTGTCCTCGATACGTCTTACTCTTCTGCAAAAAGGCGAGATTTTCAAGGATCCCGACTATGAAGAGATTAGGCAATAATGAGCCAGAAGTTTTACGAAACTCCCATGTAGGAGCTTGAACACGCACCATCAATGTTACCATCTCGTAACGCCTGTATGTGTCTAGCATGCATCTCAAACCTAAAGCCCAAATTATGCACCCTCAAGTCAAAACATCCCTCAAAGACCTCTTGTGATGTTTCACCATCCATGAACACATCAAAGCCTGGAGGCATCGCCCGGGCCCGAAGGCCCACCAGCCCCACCGTCCTCCTCAAATGACAAGGTTTA